GGAGTCCCCAAATCATAATTTAAAGACTTCAAGTCGCAGAGAATCCTCCAGCAAGCGACCCCTGCACCATGCTGCGGAGGAAGGCGAAAAACCTCCAGGGCCTCTGCCAATCTACCCTGGAGGAAAATTCCTTCCCAATTAACACTTGTGCACTAGGAACCGGCCTGAGACCCAGATCACTTCACAGAGGACTCAGCACAAGGTTTCAGATGGTAATTTTCAAGCATCCTACTGAGGCTGGATTTGAATTAAGAAGCTAGAGTGGAAAAATTCTATATCCATTACCAATATCCTAAGCCACCCAATTCCCCATTTTTTCCAGACTTCAGACAGACACAAAACATCATCAAGACCTAAACAAAGAATCCCAATTAGTTTCAGGGCTAATAGGTAATTTCGTTTCTAATTAAAGTTTTCCCTTAAGCATGGCAAGTCTGATACTGCAGCACCCAGGGGGACAGGCCAATTACGATAGCTGCATTTTTTTTGTATATAATTAAAACCTCCTCTATTGCATAGCCTACCAAACTTAGCTGTGGACGTGTTATTTATACAGTTTTAATTAATTCAATTTAAATTAGCAATACATGTATTAATTGAGATAAGCAGGTTTCAATCTGCCACTATTAAATAGCAGGAGCAGTTTTTGCTCGGCTTAAGAAGGCACTATGAAAACTGGGATGAGTAACTTCTGGAGGTTTTTTAATGACAAATGCAACCTCACCCATGGAGTATCACAAAAACAGTGAATAGCACAGAAAATTATAGATGACAGTATACCTTGGCTGAGTTTGATTTTTTTAAATGTGGTTTCTTACATCTAAAGTGTCTTTAATCGGATTCTGCATTTTTGTTCACTTAAAAGATTGAAACGGACCATCCAGATGTATAAGACAAGTCATTTCTATTTATTGACAAATATTTGTTGCAACACCAACTCACTGGAATGCATATAAAACATTTACCCAGAAAGAATTTACTTACAAAAAAAGCATTTTTACTTCAATCTAAAAACAGTCGTCTGTTTATTTTTTAAGTCAATTTCTGAGCTTAGAGGATAGCTCTTGGTAAGTATCAGTCCTTCTGCAGTGAAGATTGCTCTCCCATCACCAATCACTCTTCAACAGTTCCTGAAGATAGACAGAGTTGGCGTGATAAGCAGTCATCCAGTTAAAATGCCTATGAAATTTCCTATAGTAAGAGTGAGAAGCATAATAACTCTGCCATGTTCGGTAATAGGACTTCCAGTATTCGTCATAATTCTGAGTCTCATAGGGAAAGCCAGGAGAGCTCTCATCCTGAGTGCTGTATGAACAGTCTTCCTGAGCTCCTCTCTTTGGAGGACTGGGGGATTGTTGGTGGCGGCTTTTCTTACATCGTTTGGAATTTTGTTTCACCGCCTTCTTTTTCACCTGACTGTGCTTTTGGATTTGTGGCATCTGTTGGTGCTCCACTGAGCCCAGGGAGCAGCTTATGCTTTGGGAATAGTTTAGAGGAGCTTGATCTATAATGAGCACATCACTTCCTCTCTCTTGAGTATCTGAAGAGGCTTCAAAGTATGACTTGTTTCCCCTACTATGAGAGGAAGCTCTGGAACTGTACGAGTTACTATCACTATCAGTGTCCCCAAATGAGACACTGTCTGCTACTGAGTGCATAACCTCTTCCATCCCTTTCTTTTCAAAAGCACCATTTTTAGGGTGCTGGTACTGCTCTCCAGGGCCTGTGTAACTTCTTATGATTTCAACCCTTTTCTCCAACCCTTCTTTAATAAAGTATTCATAGTCTTCAACGAACTCTGCAAAGCTCCATGGAATGGCAGGCTGTGGGTTCTTAAACGATGACAGGCAAGGAATTTTGGGGAGTGTATTTTTTAAGGTTTCCTTGTCCAGATGCTGATCAACATTTTGTTCAGTGGTTTTGCAAGCCGTTGCCATTTGATTTCTCTGCTGTGCGTTGGAGTTTAATGTCGTTGGACTCTTGCTAGTTTTTTCTGTATTTGCATGATCTGGGCAGCCTTTTAGTAGCTGCTTCTGTTTCGAAACCCTTCTTGGCTTGGACATGGAGGAATTTTCACCTGGAACAGCAGGATCACATTGGGGTATCTGAGCACAGCTATTTACGTGTGTGCGCTGCATTGACTCCTCTGGTCTTTTATGGGTCAAGATATGAGCATTCACTGAAGCATCTGCATGGGCAATAGCAGTGACCTCTACATCCCACTGTGCAAATTGCTCCATCAATCCAGTGGGTACAGGTTCTGCACAACAGAAAAAAGCAGCCATTCAGTCAAAAGCAGCACAAGACTTCTTTCTTGATCCCGAGGAAACAAGTATGTTTTGCACGCTATATAACAAAATCCCAAATCATAAACAGATTGTAAAGTGACAGCTGTCAAATTTGCTCTTTTTCCATAAATATTACCTGTATTTCTGGTGGAAGTTTTGTTTTTGTTTTAAAAAAATACAATAGATGCATTTCTCTATTAGAATATCATTCTTTTCATAAATTATTCACGGTAAACTATGCCTATTATTCCAAGGGTAACCATAGAGAAGAGCAATAACTCAGGTTATTAGAAGATATATTTATGGCTAACAATGGTCAAACAGAATACAATATTTATTACCTCTCTGCTCCAGCATACATCCTAATTAAAAACATCAATTTTAAGATATATTAAAAATGTTAAAAGAGGCATGGAAAGGAAAATACAAAGCATTGCTAACAGGTAAATTCTATTGTTGGGGAAAAGTGATGGTGAATCCATTCAGATTTCCCAGTTCCTTTCTCTTCCACTCCACTATTGTACCCATAAAGCCCACAAGACCTCAGCACTCCATTCTGCAGTTCCCATTGCCTTCTTATGAAAATCTATCCCTAAGTTTACAGTAAGTTTTAATTTTGTATTGCTTTGTATAATTGCAGTGATTTAAAATAAAGGTACAGGCCACCTAGTTAAGAGATATTTATGTACGTTGTCAGTACCAACACTCTGCCTTACAAGTCATATATGCAGCTATTAGACTTTGCATAGTATCTGTATATTAAACCACTGTTCATCATGACCACCTGTGAATTCAACTGTCACATTAAAACCAAAAAAATAACCAAGAGAATTTAATGCAGACATATTCAGGAGACAGACTGTACCTGGTAAAGGAAGGAGCTGAAGATTACATTTCTGTGCAATTTTCATCATCATATTCTCTTCCTCCCCACGGCAACAGTATGTCACAGCTAGGCCTAAGGTTCCTACAATACAGGGAGCGAGGGAAGAATTAGCTTGCCAGTTCCACAGATGCACCGCTTGCAGCTGCACAACCCCACAACAGTGTTTTACCAAAGCGTCCAGCTCTGCCAATCCGATGCATGTACGTTTCCCAGTCCAAAGGCACATCCAGGTTGATGACAAGATTCACCTTCTCAGCATCAATTCCACGAGAAGTCTTGAAGGGGGGGTGGGGGTGGAGAAACAGACGTAATGGTGACTAGTCATATAAGAGATGCAGTTCATCTATCAATTCAGGAGGCCCTTCTGTAAATTCTATGTATTTCAACACACTATGTGAAAACTATAATTTCCTGGCTTGCTTAGGTTAGCTAGAAATAAAAGTGTATAAGCACTTGGCATTGAGATGTACAACTGGAGGATCATTTGTATTACCGTGGAGGAAGAATAAGCAGATGTCTGGGTACTAAGGGAGCACATATGCTCCCAGCTTAGGAGAAATATACAGAACAGTAATATTTTTAGGTGGTAGAACTTCAATCACCGAACTGAAGACAGCAGGAAGGAATAACCTTGCCCGGTCTTTTCATGTTTTTAAGTGTAAAGAAAAAAATCGTACCACAGCCAATACTCCTGTGCCACAGACAAAAGAGATATTGCTACTGCTCTCCTTAAAACGTCAAAGAGGTGTTGTGCTGGTATCACACGAAGGAGAAAAGTAACTTCTGTCCCCCCATACCATCATCAAAAGATAGACACTTATTTCTTTGAAATTCATATAGCCTTCCAGAGCCTAATTACAAAAAGGTAATTAAAAAGAAATAAGTATTTAAACTTTATGTTTTTTAAAAGACTTTGAAAATTGGTTTTGTTTTCTGAAGATGAAAACTGGGTGGCAGTTTGTATGCTCCGCAGGGACAGAAAGTTGCTATTTTCAGATAAATGTTCTATAAATACTGCTAATCAGCTCTATCTCCAAGTCAGCTCTACAGTACATGAATTTATATTCTAGAGAACTACTTCTGCTTAACAGAATAAAAAACTCACTAAGTCTGTGGAAATCAGGACTCTACAATGGAACTGCTTCAATTTAGCCATAGCATCAAGACGTTGGTTCTGATTCATACTTCCTGAAGAAACAAAAATGAATATTTAGAAACTGAAAGAGTATTTAGGTTATTTAGCCTTGTGCTGCTCAAACCCAGGGAAAACAAGGCTCAATAAATTCTACTCCTGAAAGCTAGTGAAGTGGCATCCATCCTTCAGGCACTAATTCTAAGACATGTTGTATCTACACCAGGAAATGGGGGTGACTGGAAAGTAGACAAATTTGAAAACACGATTAACAAAGTAGGGTATAAAATTAATCTCTTTTTGAGAGATTATCCCTTTCTCAAGTGTTTTAATAACTTGGGTAACATGGAATGCAAATAAGTTTGACTTACTAACTACCATAAAGATGCAAATATTCTTACAGCAAGGGGAGACTACAGGAAAAGGGATTAGTGTTAATTACAAAATAAACAAAAAAGGATGGTTTTGTTATAATTGTGATGAGCTTTGTTTCATTGGCTTCTAATTGAGAGATATTCTTAATAAGTGCCCAAATGCATCAAATTACTCCACACTTCTGAACATTTCAAACACAAGAGGACTTTCCTTTCCAAATACATCAATCTGTTACAGTACTCCAAAGAGTAAATGGGATTTTAAGCAAATATTTAAAGATTCTTCAGTGAACCTGCCAAAATATGAACGGTGAAACATTACCTGTAAATTATTCATATAAATGCCCCCAAGTCCCCGCTTATGTCCTGAATACTCCAATGGCTACATTTCTACTATGACTATAGGTCAGTTTCGTATAGAATTCCAATTAACAGAAGCAGTAAGTTCCAAATGCACTTGCCTGAAATGCACTCAGCAGGAAAACCTTTGGATGTCAGTACTTCAGCCAGGTGTTGAGCCCTAATACAACATATACATAAAGGTTGTAAATAAAATTACATGCTTCCAGAGTTTCTTCAAGATGACAGACTGAAAATGACTTAACAGCCTAAGCATCAGATCTGAACTTTCAACTCTTTTACAGCCAAAGATTAAAATGCCAGCAGTTGTCTCAGCCATTTATCTTGTTAAGTTAGGTACAGTGACACTTTGCAATTTTGCAACTGATGGATCTTTCAGCTTCGACTTCAAAAACCAAGTGTGCACAGACATTAGTTCCCACAGCACTCAGGTAAATACAGAAATTACCCTGATGTCAAAATTCCCCCCTACCCCTACACTCGCTTAGTACTATGTACCATCCATTAAAGCTGCAGCCCTGCGTTCCAGAAACGGTAGCATTTCGGAGTTGAAATTTGCATGCAGGTTGTGTAGTACTTTGGGCTCTTTATGAAAAGTGCTATAAAAATGGAATATATTATGCCCACTGTTCACAGACATCTGCAAACATCATATTGTTAGTTTTAAGAAGTTCTTATTACCTGCTATGCAGATTTGAGAAGACCAAGGCCTGATTAAATGGAATCTTGCTGAAGAGCTCCTGCAAGTGCTGCGCCTTCTCCTCAAAAGTCTTATGAGGAAGTGAATGAGAATTCACAATTTTGTAATATTGCTTCAGCCCTGTGCAAGAAATCAAAGCATGGTAAGGTTAACAGTACAAAAAATTCACATAAAACTAGCAATGAATTGGTATTAAAAAGTTGATTCAAATATGTAGTTGTAGCTAGAATAAGAACATTAAAGAACTGGGAAATATTAGTTAACCAATATCACCACATGCTGAATTGGAATCTGGAAGGCTATTCTTCTTTAAAGTTTGGAATCTTTTCTTGAAGCTATGGAAAAAAGATAACCCACAACAGAGAGAAAAATAACCACTCTCCCATCATAGATACTTTGGCTAAGAAAAGTTTGGGTATAAGCACTCTTTTGAACAAATCATGTAATCTATAAATAAAAGTGATAAACCAAGTATTTTGAAACTTTTTTTTTGTTTTATTAATTATACTCATAGCTGAATGTTAAATACATTCAGATTTTATTTGCCTAAAAACATTAAAGTTATGGATGTGCAACTTATACATACCAATGAGACTTGGGTCAGTGGGGTTCAACCTCACAAAGGTAGGGTCTCTCATGTACCTGGTCAAAGCATTAGCCAATGATTCAGGGTAGGTAGCAGAAACAGCCAGCATCTGTTTGTTGGCTGGCAAAGAAGAATAAATCCAGCTAAGAGAAAGTAAGATATTGAAAGTGAATGTATCCCACATAATGCATATTTTAGAGCTGAAAGATTCTGCATGTTAAAACTACTGCTAGGCTTATGAGAGAAACACTAGTATTTTTCTTACTTGACTTGTTCCTGGAAGCTGCCTTCTTCCAGAAGCTTGTCAGCTTCATCAAGAATGAAAAGGCGGATACTGGCTGTATTCAGACAGTCCAATTCTATGAGTTGCTTTATTCGACCTACATGATGAGAGAAGTGAGACACTTGAGCTCCAAAAATATTTATGAAAAGAATCTGGTTGAGACAAGACAAGACACTTTATCTGTTGCAAATCAAAGACTCGTTACCTAACCCACTTATTAAATAAATCTTTTTTAAAAAGCATATTTAGACTAATCACTCACTAAAAATACTTCTCTGGTCTACTTTTCTTTTGCTTCAGGCTTTGAAACTGTCCCCTGTGACTATAGGACAAGAATTCAAGAGTGCATTTATGTACCAAATATTGTTCTGTTGAAAAGCGTGTCACTGAATTGTGACTAAAGTATAGTGAAGTGTGCTCTTACCTGGAGAGCCTACAGCTATGTGACACTTTTTTAGTCTCATTTTGTCTTGGTTCAAAGGAGTCCCTCCGATGAAGACATGACATTCCAAGCCCTCCATTTTGATTCCAATAGTTGTGATAACAGCATGAATCTGCACTGCAATTTCTCTTGTAGGAGCTAAGACCAGGATCTGAAATAATAAAGAACTTGGCTTTGAAGGGACAGTGATGGCTCAGTGGATTAAATGCAGTCTTTCACCTCTACACCACTGCTTTAACTACAGCGTAGGTGGCCAGCGACAAAGTTTTTACCATCAGCTGTTTCATGACTTGTGTAACACTCGTTGCAAGTCAAGTCAAGTTCTTACTGGACAGGTCCTCCGACCCCAAATCAATAAGTTGAGACTGAATTCCTTCGGCTCCCATAAAAGTTCCCCCTGCAGAGTAGACTTGAGGCATATTGATAGAATGGTATAGGTGGAAGTCTACTATCACAGTCTATGATATACTTGTCCTAAGAAAATATTGCTATCACTGAAGTTGTCGAGCCAACAAGATGTTTTTTTGTGCTTTAAAGCCTAAAAATGACCAACAAGGGAGGCGTGGGTGTTCCCCTTATGCCCCCCCCC